AGCTGATATTTATGTTGATGAAATCTAGGTGTATCTATTAGTGAACCAAAGATAGATTTTATGTTTGCTTTTTGTTGTCAAGTGACCTCCCTATATAATGGATGTTATTGCCTAGTTTATGATACTCATTAAAAAGAATTGTGTTCTGCATTTGATTCAGCAAAACATGCAACATGCATTTAGTGTATCAGTCTCAGTGAATAGAGTATTTGTTGTGATATAATAGTATAATGTTGATATCTGTATTTGATGTGTACCTAAATCAATCCTTTTTATAACTACTCTTAAATGACCTCCTTGCTCTGAGTCTCTGACATACACAAAAAAGCCTGAATTGGTTTTTTAAGCAAACAGTGCCATCTCGTGTTTACTAATGTAGTTCAACGGTGCAAGAACAACTTGTATCATTTTACAATATATACATTTGGTAAATGTCACAAACTATAAAGGATGTTACAACTAGCTACAGTTTAAATAAAATGGACTCCTTGCTTTCCTTTTGTGCTGTATTCATCCACCATCTTAAATACATATTTTGTTATCTTCTAAATTTAAAGTCTAACTTTATCCCTTTTATATATTTGTATATTTATGTATACATTTATATATTATATATTTATAACTTTATCTTTATATATATAAACACACACATTTGTTTGGTGGCTTATTATATGCTAGTAAAAATATAAATAAATACGGAAAATTATTTTATTTTATTTAATACATTTAGCAGATGCTTTTATCCAAAGCGACTTACAGTGCATTCAGGCTATACATTTTTTTACCAGTATATGTATATATATATATATATACGGATAAAATTATATATATATATATATATATAATTATTATTTTATGCTTTTGCAGAAATATTGTTTTATAATATAATAATTATAATATTATTATTTTTTATTTTATATATTTTTTATATATATTTCTTGACCTTATTTGTTGTTCTGGTGTAGCACCTTCCAACTGTCATGCTTTAGACTTGCCCATATCAGATCATAAGTTAATGTCATTCAGTGTTAACTTAATGGTTGAAAAAACCAACATGGGTCATTCCATTTAATTTCACAATATCAAGAACATCGATCTATCTGCTCTTTCTGATGGACTGGACAATTTCTTCAGGAGCAATGATTTCTCTACTCCAGATGACTTGGTTTCTTATTATAACGAGGGACTGCACAGTGTGCTTGATGCACTTGCACCTTTAAAAACTCGGACTGTTTATTTTATTCATTCTGCACCTTGGTTTACACCAGAACTAAGACAACTTAAAACTAAGGGGTGTCACTTGGTACGTTTATACATTAAAACTGGACTTAATGTTCATAAAGATATGTACACAGACCATATGCTCTCTTACAAGAATGCTCTTCTAACTGCTAAATCTGATTACTACTCTAATATAATTAGGTTAGATGAAGGGAATACAAGGTCCTAGTTTAATACAGTAAATAATATCCTACGGCCTCCTAATACCCTTCCTTCTCATCTATATTCTAGTGATCTATGCGATAAATTAATTACCTTTTTTAATACTAAAATTGGAAATATTCATCAACAATTAACTTCTCAAAATATTGTGGCATCTGATCTGTTGTATTTACCTTCCCGTGATTCTCTTCTGTCTCTATTTTACAGTTTCGAACTTCCAACTATTGATTAAATATCAGGCCTTATCAAAGTTTTCCACTTGTCAGTTAGATCCACTCCCCACTCACCTGGTCAAAGCCTGTTTATTTTCTCTATCTGATATAGTAAGCGATATTTTAAACTCATCTCTCACCTCTGGTGTGGTTCCTTCATCTTTTAAGGTTTCTGTAATCACTCCAAGACTTAAGAAACAGGGAGCTGACCCTAATCATTTTGCTAACTTTCGCCCAATTTCCAATTTGCCCTTTCTCTCAAACATTTTGGAAAAAGTTGTTGCATCTCAGGTTCATTCCCATCTTTTTAAAAATAGCCTGTTTGAAAAATTCCAATCGGGTTTCCGCCCTTTGCATTGTACAGAGACTGCCATGGTAAAAAGTTGTTAATGATCTGCTGATGTCAGCTGATTCTGGACTTTAAATTACTTATTCTAATCGATTTAACCGCGGCCTTTGATAAACAATTTCTCATCAAGTTATCTTAGATTGACTACTCTCTATAGTTATTACTGGTGTCCCTCTTAGTTGGTTCAGATCTTATCTCTCTGGGCGCACTCAATTTGTTCAACTTAAACATTTCAGATCATACGTTTCATCTGTTACAGCTGGTGTTCCTCAAGGCTCTGTTTTTGGCCCTCTTTTATTTATTATTTATTTACATTTTTAGGAAATATGGCATCAGTTTTCATTGCTATGCCGACGACACCCAGCTTTATCTGTCTTCTAAGACAAATTCTACCCTTCTTTCTTCCTCTCTTTCGGGTTGCTTAGAAGAGATTAAATCCTGGTTTTCGCATAACTTTCTAAAGCTGAATATCGATAAAACAATAGTTCTCCTTGTTGGTACCAAATCTAATTTGTCAAAATCCAATAGTTTTTCACTTTCTGTTGATAACTCTAATCTCCCCATCTACTCAGGTTAAAAGTCTGGGTGTCGTCCTCGATAGTACTTTATCTTTTGAAAAGCATGTGAACAATATTACTCCGTCTGTGTATCTCCATTTACGGAACATCAGCCGCCTTTGTCCATTTCTCACACCAAATTCCACAGCTATTCATGTACATGCTCTAGTTACCTCGCACTTTGATTATTGTAACTCTCTTCTTTTTTGGGTACCTTACAAACTCATTAATAAACTTAAATTGGTCCAGAAGTCAGCTGCGCGTATAATTACTAGAACCTCCTCCATCGAGCATATCACTCCAGTTATCTACCATCTTCACTGGCTTCCTGTTAAATATTGAGTACAAGATTCTACTTCTCACTTTTAAAGCTCTTCATAATTTTGCACCACCATATCTCTCTGATTCATATTTACATCCCAAAGCGTACTCTCAGATCTTCTTCATCGGTTTCCCTTGTTGTACCTTCTGTTCGTTTAGCCACTATGGGCCAGTAGCCCCTCACTGCAGAACAAAGATCCAGGGGTGGGGTTGGATCCACATCTAGGGGGTGGAGATGGGTAGGTTTAGGTGTATGTAAGGTGGGAGAAGTTGGATCTGGATCCAACCTCGCCCCCTGGATCTTGTGTTCTGCTGTGAGGACCATCTCCTGGGGTCTAAGGGCATTTAGTTGTGCTGCTCCTAATCTCTGGAATTCTCTTCCATAATCTATATGAGAAAGTGACTACTTTTAAATAATGTCTTAACTTACTTGTTTAAATTAGCTTTCTCTGATCAATTTTAAGTGATTTAATGTCAATAGTTGTTGTTTGTTGTCTTGTTGTCTTGATTTTATGATTATCAATCAACTGTACGGTGTCCTTGAGTGCTCTGAAAAGGCGCCTTTAAATAAAATGTATTATTATTTTATTATTAGAATGTAATAAGCCACCAAACAAATCTGAATCGGTGGAGCTGCGGGTGGGGTGAATTTGGAGTGCATTGGGGGAAGACATCATCTCGAAAAAGGTAGTTTTATATTTATGGACGCAGGAAGGCGCCAGAGGTCCTTTCTAAGACTTGTCCCCTGAACACCTGACCTGAGCAGAAAAGGAGCCAGAGACTGACTTCAACTTTGAATATATATTGATATAACTGTACAGTAATTTTGTGCATACTGTAGCCTAGTAATGACCAACCATGTTTTGATCCAATTCATCCTTCCAACTAACCCAATCGAGTGTCAACACTAACATTAGGCCTATTCATTTTATTAACGACTCTAAATAAAGTATAGGCTCACATAATAGCATTTATTTTAATTAGATTTATTTATTTATTTGTGTAAAATAGCAACATTCTATTTTAAATCGCTCTACAGCAGAGACAAGTCACCAGAGATTATAGCTGGCAGAGCTCAGGCCACAAAGTTTGTTGAGTTGACAGAATACTTAGTAAATTGCCAGTTCTCGTGACTGAGGTAGTTTTCTATGTAGGTCTGTGCACGAGGCGTTTGGCGCGACAGAGCATCATATAGGGCTGGTTCCGCGCTTTATCCCTGGTGTTTACCGGGGAATAATTGCTGTTTTGTGCACCTGTGGGTGTAAGGAGACTGGCGCCGTCTGTGATTAGTCAGAGGAATGCAGACTGCTTCCGTAAGATACACTGACAACATTTCAACGATAGATGGCATTCCAGTTAAACCGTGCTTTTCAACAATGAGGAAACATATCCCTTTAATCAAGACTGTAAGCTTCATTTGATACTTTTAGACTATCACTTGGTCTAAATGTAGGCCATTGATCGAGTAATTTACATGCGTACTGCTCAATTTGAAAGGCTAAAGGTTCAGGGTTCACCTTAGGTTGCATATAAACAAGAAAATTACATTCGAATTACATAGAATTCAGTTAGGTGCACAAAAATGTTCCTACTACAGAAAAAGACAATGCTCCTTTATATATTTCATTCTCCCTGGCTATTTTCCATCTGGAAAAAATAGTCCTGTCTTCTTTCATTTTTTTCCCCTCTATATTTAGCTATTTTCTCTCTCTTTTTGAAATTCACCAATTTTGCTATTTTAATTTATTTAGTAAGTGAATGGTTATATTGTTTAACTTTTTGTAAAGACTAGCTAAATCCCTTAAGACCAAGGCTGCAAGATATTTTGTTATTTCGACTTGACAGAGGTCTTCCTTCAGCTGGCAGTGCTTCTTAGGACTGCCTGCTAACCGATTGGTTCGCTTTACCACATGACGCCCAGTATATGGCCCGCCCGTCAGCATCTCCAAGGCAGAAACCGCCGCGGAGCTCAAACCTTCTATCAACTATGGATATGTAACTTAAGGCGAAACAAACTACCTCCATAAGTTGTGTGATTTTTGTATCACCGGTTATTTGTTAGAGGTGCAGATTTTAAATAGGCTATTTTAAGTGGTCACGGTAAGTAAATTCAGTTCACTGTTTTTTTTCCTGAAAAATGACCGCTGTACTGGATAGCCTTGGCTCGGATATGCATACAAACCATATTACCTCGAGCAGCTTCAGTACCGTTCACAAGTCGCAGGATTCCCCAACATTGCCGGTGTCAACTGTGACCGACAGCAACTTCTACAGTAGTTCACAGACAGGTCACTGCGCGGGGACAGCGTACGCACAACTGGCATCTTATTCCTATCATCCTGGTACAGTGGGTAATGTTCACTACAGCCCGAAGGCTTACGATTTAGGCTATGCTTCTTCCTATGGCGCTTATGGAACGTATGGACCCAGTTCTTCACCAACTCCAACCGAACCAGGTAAGAGCGCCTCAGTATTCCCAAACGTCGTTTTCTGTTGCCTATTGTCGTCTTGTGATATTTTACAATGACAACTTTTGTGGTTAATTTTGATAGAGAAAGAAGAGAGTGAGCCAGAGGTGCGCATGGTGAATGGAAAGCCAAAGAAAGTCCGGAAACCGCGAACCATCTACTCCAGTTTTCAGCTGGCGGCTCTCCAGCGCCGATTCCAGAAGACCCAGTATCTCGCGCTCCCAGAACGCGCCGAATTGGCGGCTTCTATGGGCCTCACACAGACCCAGGTCAAACGCGGCTCTTTTACTGCATGCTGTGGCTATAAGTTTGAAGCTGTATTTCTGTACTTTTTAAATTTATTTTAACGTGGAGTTGTGTTATTTCATGTTTAACTTAGACGCGCTTTATTTTGCGCCACAGGTGAAGATATGGTTTCAGAACCGACGCTCAAAATTCAAAAAGTTGTGGAAAAACGGCGAGATTCCATCAGACCAGGTTGCTACCGGTGACTCTCCCTCTAGTACTCCTCCACCACAAGCAGGTTGGGATTTCCCACCGAACCAGACACCAAACGACGGAGACACAGTTTCAGAGCAGCCCAATGGGCCACCAAACACCACCGCCCCATCATTTTTGACAAACTATTCATGGTACTCATCCACGAATCCAGTCACACATCTACAGCCCAGTACCTTAATACAACCTCATCACAGCTCTGCCATGAGTGCTGGGGCCATATTCTAACAGAGGACTAAAATGGCCGAATACACCTGTTGTAGGAGGATATAGGCCTATATTCTGTCACTGGACTTATATCTTAGGAAAACATTAACTCTAAAATCTATTTTCAGGCTGGGTTTGCTAAAGATGTTTGCCGTGGAATTCTTTGGCGCCACTAATGCGCGCAAGCAACGCACATTAAATTATTTTTCTATTTATTTATTTGTTTTCGTTATAGTCAAAATGAAAGGGGTTATCATATATGTTTATTTCACATTCCAAGTACAAACGGGTAGCCTTTTTCGTGTGTTGTACAGAATATATTAGATTTAGTGATAAATCTATTCAAATGCTTATAACCTGCAGTCATAATTAAATGTGCGTTTTACTATCAGTTTAACGTTTGGTTCTTTGATTGTCGTTTCAAGTTGTTTGTCTTCAACCCAAGGATTTTGTGGAGCTGTGTTTTTTCAGGTTTTGCTCTATAAAAACGATTCTTCATTGGTCGTAAAAGTCTTGTAAAGGATCGTAGGCTACAACTGGTCTGTAACGTGTGTGTGTGTGTGTGTGTGTGTGTTGATATTTCCACGTTCTTTTAACCTGGCATCTAACAATTTTTACTTTTAACGTGGCAACCAAGCACTTATTTGGCTAAAACGCATGAAAGAAACCGTATAAATGAAAGAGACCCCGTTTGAATTTGGAACGCTCGCTGCCTAAATACAACATGGGCTCATATGCACTAATTTAATATTTACAGAAATGAAGAAATTGGGTCTGCATAGGTTTGTAAAGAACATTACTCTTAGCCTGTATACCTATGCAGACTTTTCCTGTACATCTCCGTTTCTTTTGCACACGTAATGCATGTGTGATTTTTTCGCTAGAACGAATCTGACCCTATTTAATCCTTTGTAAATGTTTTTGGTGAAGAGGTATCCTGTACCTCTGGGCATGAGGGGGAGCGCCTGGCATTCGGACGCGTCTTGACATGCGCAGAAGGAGATGCGAGGGCGTTCCGCGTGCGGCGAGGGCTCTTCCCACTCCAGACTCTCTGGAGTCAGCTCGCTCCTCTTCCAGACGTTTTATGAACGCCACTCAACCAGAGAAAAAAAAACATAAAACCGCCTCAAGCAGACCGCCCTGGAAACATTCTCCTCGAGTCCCCGCTTCCAGCTCCAGCACAGCCTTGAGCTATTCTTGTACGGGGACACGCAGTTTCTCATTGCCTCACGTCTTTACATGGTCAAGTTCAACATTTTTGGAACTAAAATAGTTACTGGAATAGGTGGGAGACCCGACTTAACTCTGAGGGCAAAACACCACTTGCACCAATTTTACAAATTAATATGAGGCTTTTGCTCATGTTTCATATTATACAGCACCTGTAATCTAGTCCATGTAGGCTATGTTTATTTGTCATTGTGACACTGGGGTTAAAAGTTGCTTTACCTAATTGTAATTAAGGCAAATGCATATTACAAATGGATTGCATATTTTCTTTATTAGTACCCTCAAATCGTGTGAATATTTTTATATACATTTCTTGAACTATTAATAATCGCAAAAAAAAAATTTAATAAAAATAAACATTTGTTCTACCTAAACATATTAAATTGTAGACTGTATTAAAGGGGGAAAAATTAACAGAATATCTCAAATCAATCAACTTGGCCGAGCAAACAAACAAAGCGCAGAATAACAAAACAGCATAATAACAGAATCATCAGTATATTCCCGAAGTTTACCCACGAACTATTATAAAGAATAACGTTTCAGGGGCTGTTGTAACTAATCGTTTATCTTATATGATTTGTTGCTTTTGAGGTTCATTCGCGCTTCCGCGGTTTTTCTAAATATGGACATAGTGGTTGGGGCCCGGATCCTTTGATTCTTATTGAAAAAGACGACTATTTTTATTCAGATTTTGGGAATCTGATTCCCAAACCCACCAGGTCACCATGACATATCTTTACAGGTGCAGCAAATGCTACTATGATTGTAGCACATTTTACCGTTCTGCTTCGTTCCTTATGTCAACATTCACAGCTGGCAGTAATCGAAATGCCAGGGCTTATTTGCAACCACACCACTATGAGTCCAAATGACTGCTTCCGTATGGATTCAAAGCTACATCCGCATGAAGCAGAGCAGAGGGTCTCTGTAAAATTTCTAGAATAGAAAAGAAAGGAAACATTTTGCGGTTTAATCTGTAATGATATTTTGTAGTGCATTGGCATTATAATTAATCACGTTCTGTGTACTGCAGAAAAAAGTGGGCTGTCAGTAACGCAAAAGTTGATTTGCATAGCCAATATTTTGCTGGATCTCATGAATTGTTTTTCTTTTCTTTGCTATGACGACAAATGTATTGTACGATTAAAGAGAAAGCAAATAACTACAGAGCATCCACGTAGCCAAACCAAGCCCAAATGAAACGAACAACATAATAAAAAAACTATAGCCTACTTCAGATAGGAACAGATCGCAAAATGTCGTAGCCTAAATAAAACAGTAAAAGAACTATGGAAAGATGCAACGAAAAGTGAGCGAAAATGCGAGACTTTTAAGTTTAAAATCAATTCGTTTAGAGTCAATATAATGATCAGGAACATCCTTCATGACAGAATAGGCTACAGCACCTGACCCCTATTGTTATTCCCTGCCTATTCCTTTTTCTTTTGTCCGACTGAAAAGATTCCCTCCGCGCCAGAAATTGCTCGCAATTGCGACAGACAGATGAAAAAACCAAATGGCTGCCATTATGATTCGATTTAATGAGCACAGCTTAGAAAGGCAGGCACCATGCCGATCAAATCACATAAACTAGTAGACCTATACAAATAGGCCTAAACAGATATGCTTAATAATAATAATAATGTAGAAACTATTCCTTTTGTGCTTTTCCAAATTCCTTGGTCTTTACATATTCCATCATCATAATCTAAGGACTTTAGTAAAATAAACAATGCGCGTTTAAATGCTACGTGGTGTCGTTTACATCTCGTTTTATACGTACACATCATTTGCTTTATACGTTTTCTTTTTAATAGGCTATCGATTCTTATTATGTGCGCGTTTCTTTAGTCTAAATGTAGAGCTTACGGACTGTTTCATGCAGAAGCAGAAGGAAACTTCCCAGATGGCACAGCCACCGAAAGCTACGGATTAACTAGTAAGAGTCACAATGTAATTAACTTTAATTGTACACATCATAGAGGCACAGCCATTAAACAGATGCAGAATGGAAGCCGGTTTGTGGAGAGAGTTCGTGCTCATGTAAGCGCACTTTCTGATCACTCATTTGACGTATTTCATTCAGTGTGTGTTTTTAGCGATTTAATATTTACAAAATATGATAAAAAAAAATTTTTTTACCATCCACACACTTCAAAACGTAAATTGTAAGACTGAAAGCTATGAACACTGCTATTCTCACTGAGAATACATGCGCATTTCAGACAGCAGAATTCAAACTCTGTCAAATGTCAGACAGCATAAGCAGTTTGCCAATGACGCCGTGAAACAGATATGATTATAGTGTATTCTTGATACGCTACACATGGCTCATACAGAAACCCCTGGCCCATAAATAGAATCACCTCTCGAGAGATGCACAGCGCTAACTACATTACTGCGGAGTAATATTATGATGTACGGAGAAACCCCGCCATAATAATAAGACGTAATGACATTTCACTCCCTGTGCTTTCAATGAGTTCAGGCAGAGATGACATCAGAAACCAAAGAGCTTGGAATAGTGAAGAGATTTTGAAACTTGTTACATAATAACCTACATGCATTAAACAATTAACCCTATTAGCCTAATTCAAACGGGCTGGAGTTGCACAGCTGTTTCAAGAAGCCATTTGGTCAGGCTAACAAAATAAGATGAAACACTGGATAAATGTTAAGAATCATTTATTTAAATAAAAGATTCTATTATTGAAAAAAGCACAGATCCATCTCACAGGTCACACTTCAAGATGTCCCATAATTCTTGTCCGGTCAATCTTCATCTGGTAGTTTTGTCAGAATCTCTACACCATCGCTGGTGATTACAACCGTGTGTTCAAATTGGGCCGATCTGAGTATTAACACATAAGAAAACAAACACACAGGTGAACATGTTGAGATTTAGTCATTTATCTAAAATCAGTGGTTCTCAACCAGGGGTCTGGGACCCATAAGGGCCTCAGCAAACTTATATGGGTGCCGCATATAAGTTATATCTCTTATATCTCGCTGGCAGAGGAGCCTCTTAAAGAAGAAGTTACAGTTCTGTGAGAGCCAGAAATCTTGCTTGTTTGTAGGTGACCAAATACTTATTTTACCGAGGAATTTACCAATTAATTCTTTAAAAATCCTACAATGTGATTTTCTGGATTTTTTTTCTCATTTTGTCTCTCATAGTTGCGGTATACCTATGATGAAAATTACAGGCCTCTCTCATCTTTTTAAGTGGGAGAACTTGCACAATTGGTGGCTGACTAAATACTTTTTTTCTCCACTGTAAATGGCTGCCCACTGCTCCGGGTGTGTGTTCACGGTTTGTGTGTGTTCACTGCTGTGTGTGTGCACTTTGGATGGGTAAATCCAGAGCACTAATTCCGAGTATGGGTCACCATACTTGGCCACATGTCACTTCACTCACTTCACTTTAAGATGATAAAGTAATTTAAAATAAGATGAAACAAGCATTAACAACTAAAATATATAAATGTGTGATTTCAATACCTGGACAAATTCTAGAATAATAATAATAATCATCTAAAAAATAATAATAAGATGTTACACCATTAGCATTTTTATATATTTATATAGAATTCTTGTCTAGTTATGCCAAGCTATTTTTGTCAGGTAAAAATTGTTAGTTTAAATATTTTTTTTAAATCCCTTAATCCTTTTTCAGTAAATCACAACGAGGGCCTTGGAGTCAAAAAGGTTGAGAACAACTGCCTTAGATGTAGAATTAAAATAAGGAATCTATCCATTTTCTTATATTGCATATTACCCCAGTCAACCTTAAAAATCAGAGCTCTAATCAACCACTGACCAAGTAGTAACACTCTGCTCTCACCTGCCAACAGAGCA